CGGGGCGCTGGGAACGGTGGCCGTTGCGGGGCGCAGGGGAGGCCAGGATGGCGACGCCGGGCAGGAAGACGCCGACCCCGGCCCCGGCCGCGGCCCCGACCCCGGCGGCGCTCAAGAGGGCACTCCCGGCAGATCCTTCTTCTGAGGTCCCGAGCAAGAGAAGGAATTCAGGCCCTCTGCAGTCGCGGCTTCAGTCGTCCGGGCCTTTCGTGGAGGGCGCCATCGTGCGCATCGTCATGGAGAACTTCCTGTGAGTGGAGTGGCCGGGCCGCGCGCCAGGGGGAGCGGCGGGCGCGCAGGAGCCCGGCGGGGAATTCGCGCGCGGCGTCCCGTGAGGCGCCGCCTGCGTAGGCCCTGCGTGTGGCCGTGGAGAGGTGTCGTGTGATTCGTATTATTTCTATTTAAAAATTCCTTTGCCTGCCTCTTTGGGAGGCGTCGTGGGGCAGTCCGGGGCGGTGCCTGGGGACGAGTTCTCTGCCCCGATCCATAGAGGGACGCGGGCTGCTGCTCACAGAAGTCGTGGCCCGGGAGTTCACAAGGAGGCAGCCTTGAAATGGGAGAGGCCGTCGTGCAGTGGCAGGTTGCTTGCGTGGAGGCATCGGCTTGGTGCACAGAGGATGAGCTGATAATGGTTTTTCAGGGTGAGGGTTCGCGTGTACCCGCAGAAGTAACCTTCCTTTCCGTTGTTGGACCTCCCAGCAGACCCTTCACCCCCACAAATACAGCTTTCTTACGTGGCTTCTCCTCTCTCCCGTTAGACAACTGATGGTTAGTTTATTTAGAATGTAAGTGTGTTATGACAAAAATATATGTCTGTTGAACACCTTACGTATTCGTTTTTTCAGAGTCCTTTTTTCCCCATCTCGTAAATGTAAGTTTGCACACAGTGGCATACGGATCACAGAATTGGAGTAGTAATTCCATCATCATTTTCCCCAAATATTTATCTTGTGCCAGGTACAGAATGAGGTGCTTTATTTAACACATTGCTTTTCTTATTCATAACTCTTATATCCGTTGATGAGATAAGGTTAGGTTAATTTTGCCCAGCTTTACATAGCATATGATACATAACTGAATTGCTACTTGATTTTTTTTGGTCTTTTTGAGACAGGGTCTTGCTGTGCAGTTCATAGCAAGACCCTGGCCTTGAGCTCACTGTGTAGGCCAGGCTGGCCTCGAACTCGAAATGATCTTCTTGCCTCAGCCTCCTGAGTGCTGGGATTTTGGGCGTGCTGCACCACGTCCGGCTTGAATTGCTGTTTGAATCCAGATCAGTAAATATAGTCAAAAGAAGATGACATATTTGTCAGGATGACTTGAGGGAGTGGTTAATTTCATTCACAGTTGTGAGGGAAAGCTTTGTAAAAAACGTATGAAAGTTTTAAAAGAAAAGAAGTTTTGTAAACACTAGGAACTGCCTGAAAGAAAGTTTGGAGTTTTAGAAAATTTAACTGTTTCAGTATGACTATAACATAGGATACTCATGAATATGTGGACAGGTATGCAACCGTTGAGTGTCAATATATTTACCGTGCTAAGAAATTCCAGCTTCAAGCAGGATTCAGACTACAATATAGCTGTTAAGTGCTGTGTTGTCATTCTCCCTGCTCAAAATAAAGTTGTTTCTTAACTATACCTGTCTGCTATATCTGTGTAGCAGCCAGGGATGCTTGGTCTCACACATGTTAGAATTAAATGTTGACTTGACTGGAGATTCTTGAATTAAGGTTTGGTCACAGAAAGAAAGAAATTTCAGCTTTATCCTGTAGGCAGGCTGAATGTCTTTTAAGTGGGGAATGGTGTGAGTTTGTATTCATTTGGAAGCATTGTGGAGAGTTTAAAGGTTAAAGGGTTTAAGACTGGAGTCAAGAAGACTTTTCTTTTTATTTAAGAAGACTTTTCTTATATGAAGGCAAGAGAGAGTCTGAGAATAGTAGGAATTTGAGAGGCAAGAGATTCATTAGGTTCTGGGTTCATATTGTGAGGCACGAAAGGAAGAGAGGATTGCAGCAAATGTTTCCCTAAGTCTCTGCCTTTGCTAACTGATCAGGTACTATTCAGTTTGGGGAGAAATACTAAATGTCGTTTAGGTCCTGTGACTTGGTTTTTTTTTGCTAAGAGATTCTGTGTGCAGAATTTATAAGGGTCCGGAGCTCAAAGGAAAAGAGAAATACCACCTAATTAATTAAGGCCAGAAAGAGCCTTCCACACGTTAGGAAATCATTGATCCCTTAGTGAAGCAGTAGAAAAATGCACACCAGAGAAAAGTAAATGAGAAATGAGGAAGTAAAGCTTGGATGTAAAGAGGAGAAGCAAAAGGTGGCTGGAAAGTACAGAGCTAAGTGAAATTGTTTTTTAATTATTTCAATGACTGAGTTTAGGAGTGAAGTATGGAGTGGTAGGCTTAGATATTTAGCAAGGAAGTGGGAGGGGTAGGTCTGGAGAACTTACGTGGTCTGGAGGGGTTCCTCTGGGTAAATCTAGTGGAGAATGGAGGGAGAGATTTCTAGGGTGAAGCAGTGGTATGCAAAGGGAGAGAGAGAAGCGTAAGTTAGTGAAGAAACTGGCACAGGCCTGTAAGTAATCTCAACTGCTGGAGAAATTGAGGCTTGAGGATCACAAGTTTGAGGCCAGCTTGGGAAGTTTAGCAAGACCCTGTCTCAAAATAAAATTTAAAAAGATCTGAGGATGTAGTGCATAGGCAGAGCACTTTTCTAGCATATGCAAGGCCCTGGATTCATCCCCAGTGCTGCAAAATAAACATACCTGGCCACCCACCTACTCACCCACATACATAAACCTTCAAGGAAATACAGTAGCTTATAGGTAGAATTTGGAGGAATAAGCACAGAATAAGAAAGGAGATAGAAAGTGGGAAAAGATGATGGGGTTCATTACAGAAGGTCCTTTGTTTTCCTGTAAGGTTTCTGTTTTTATTTTTTAGTGTGTTACATCAGATTTATATGTCTACCAGCATGACTTGGTGTCTTAGTTACTTTTCTTACTGCTTGTCATTTGCTTTTTTTTTTTTTTTTTTTTTTGGTACTGGGAATTGAACTCACGGCCTCGTGCTTGCCAGGCAGGCGTTGCACTGCTGAGCTATATCCCTAGCTATTTTTCTCATTGCTGAGACAAAATACCCAACACCCAAAATTAAAGGAGGAAAGGTTTATTACAGCTCACAATTTGTCGAGGTTTCAGTTCATTGGCTCCAATGCAGGATAGCATGGCAGAGGGGCACTGCAGGAGAGAAACAGTTCATGGCAGAGCAGGGCAGGCAGAAGGCAGCAAGCAGCAAAGTGGCAAACAGCAAAACAGCATAAGCAGCAACAACAAGTCTTGCCTTTCCCTTTTAGCTTATCAGGCTACACGCCTTTTGATTGGTGCCTGCCCCCTATATCCAAGGTGTTGTGTCCTTAATCCCAACATCACATGACCTGGATCTAGTCACCTCTGCAAAGTCCCACCTATGATTGCATGAGGCTTTGGGAGGACCCTTGGTCATTGTTTGGTCATTGATTGAATGATGAGGGGCAGATGTGGGTAGAGGCAAGAGATGAAAGAATCAAAGATGATAGAAAAATGTCTAGGTTTCTGAGTTGAGCAACAGGGTGAAAATATTATTAAATGAGCACAAGAGTTGTTTTGGATGGCAAAATTTAGGGGTTTAGTTCTGAATGTATTAAATGTTAGGTAGTTTTGGTGGGACATCCAGCTATTTATTATGGAAGTAATTGCATGTATTAGTCATCTGGACTGGTATTCAGAAAGTAGATACCACTGGAGGCCATGGACATTACATGAGACAATTCAGGTTTTTAGAATGAGAAGAGTGAGCCTTTGACAGCTGTTTCAGAGGGAGCTCATAGAAAAGGGAATTCACAAAGCCTGAAGCAAATATAGGGTTAGAAAAGTGAATTTTCTAACATGAAGCAGAGGCTTCATCTTGCTTCTGGCAAGTCTCCTATTTATAGTATGTCTGGTAGAGGCCAGAAATTCTCATAACTTGCCATATTATTTTATTGTAAAATACCAGTTATATCACTGTTGTTGTTTTGTTTTGTTTTGTTTTTTGAGACAGGATATCACATGCAGTTAAGGCTTGCCATGAACTAAGTACAGTATGTAGCCCAGGCTGACCTTGAACTTACGCAGATCTCTCTGCCTCAGCCTCCCAGGTGCTGGGATTACAGGTGTGCCCATCAAACACCCTGCCCAGCTGGATAACTATTTTAGTACAGCGTTTGCACAGAGTGAATTTGGGGAAGATTGTAGGTAATGATGATACATAGTAAGAAAAAGTGCTTTTATAAAGAAAATATTTTTTCTCTTTTCTCTGCTTAATGATTTCACCTCTGTATAATACAGAACGTATGATATCTGTGAAGTATCTCCTGGACCCCACTTGAATATGATTATTGGAGCTAATGGAACAGGGAAGTCAAGCATCGTGTGTGCCATTTGTCTTGGATTAGCAGGCAAACCTGCTTTTATGGGACGGGCAGATAAGGTGAGTAAACAAATTACTTTTTAAGAAAATTCAGTCATTAATTGCTTTTAAAACAAATCAATTACTACATTTCAGTTCCTTGGGTATTCTAAAGTTATAATAATTGAACATGAGGGATAATTTTGGTAGAGAGAAACTAGAAGGACATTTTTATTTTTTTTGTCTAGAAATACCATACACCTAGTGACTTTCTTAAATGTTTAATACCTTAAATGCTAGGTACAGTGTGTCATTTTTTTAAATGTACTGCAGGGCTTGTGGAAATATGGAGTAAATATACCAAGGGCAGAAACAAAATAGTGTGAATTTGAAGACATAAGCAAGCATTGAAATAGTGGTTTTTTTTTTTTTTTCCTTTTTTTTTGTTTTTTTGAGACAGGGTCTCACTATACAATTCAGGCTGGCCTTGAACTCCTTTGGAGCTGAGGCTGGCTTCAAACTCGCAACAGTCTTCCTGCCTCAGCCTCTCAAGTGCTGGGATTACAGGCATGCGCCATCATGCCCAGTTTGAAATAGTTTTTCTAGGGGCATTTTGCTGATAATCTTGTACCTTAAGGTGTCACTTTGAGTTGTTTGCACAGGTATAGAAAATCCTAAAGGTAGAGAAGGGCTAGAAGATAAAACGTGTGTGAAGAAGAAAAGCAATATCACAGAATTGAATAGTACATTTACTTACATCATTATTAGGTCTAAGGGGCAGAGTGGTGGTGGTGAGAAAACCATGTAAAGAATTCATAATCACTGCCTTAACACATTTGGGGCCAGAATTCATATTATATCTACATGGCTAAAGAGCATAAATTATAATTTTAGTTTAAAGTGGTCTGAGTTAGTAATACCTCCACATACTTGGCAGAACAAATGTAAATCTTTTAATCCCATCCTTAAAAGAATTTTAACATAATGTTCTAAGAAGTTCATGAATTGATGACGAAAAACCACAAAACGTGGGCAAAAATGAATCATATGAAATGGTTACATTTCAAAAACACAATTTTAAGTGAAAATGCCATCCATCTTGGAAGAGTACATGTAATATGACTTTAGTAGGATAGCAAAAATAAAATAGTTTACATAGAGTTCAGGGATGTACATGTATTTAGTAAAACTAAAGAAAAGCAAAATGATTAGTGAGTTAGTGTACATATTACATTTGTTGAGGGGACAGAAAGATGCAGTTGGGATGAGTTACATAAAGAACATCAGATTTAATGACAAAAGTTTTCAGTTTCTAAAATTGGTGATTGATATGCAGTTGTTTTATTCTACAAATAATACATGGAGTTTGTGTATGTTATTGGTGTATAATTTATTTCACAAAAAATATATTTTTAAAAGAACATCTGGGAATTGAATTGTTACCCGCTATAAAAGGTACTTTGAAAACTTGAACTACTAAGCATATTATAGTACTGAATTATCTAAATGATATAAGGTTATTAGCTAGATTTAAAATTTAATGTAGGTTTATATGATTGAAGCATATACTTCCTAAAATTGTAAATAAAGCTATTAAATATTTTAAATGACATATTGGAGGCATTTATTTATGAGGTAGAAAAGGAAGCTTCTTTCTATTAATGATTAGTCTTGTGACCTTAGGCCATGATCTAGACTTCAGTTTTTCTTAATTTCAAAGATAAGGGTTGGGGCATGATGGCGCATGCCTGCAATCCGAGCACTCAGGAGGCAGAGGCAGGAGAATTGTTGTGAGTTTGAGGCCAGCCTGAACTACACAGTAAGACCCAGTCTTAGAAAAACCAAAACAACAAAAATAAACAACAAAGATGAGGAGGTTGGAATAATGTCCACTGATCAGCTCAGATTTTTCTGAATATTGGTAAATAGTTTTTTAATTGTCAGAGCACAATCATGAGTTAGATTCTGGTCTTGTCTAATTGGTCTGTTGGATTGTATTCCCTGGTCTGTGCAGTTTGGATGAATTGGGCTGTATCAGTTTTTACCAACCTTCTCATGTTTTGTTTGTTTATTGCTTTTTGTCGTGAAGAAACCATTTCCTGATACTGGAGTGGTAAAATTTTTGAGGGAGTCTGTGGAGTGCAGTGTTTTCTAGCATGAATTGCAGCCCTTTGGGTATCCAAATTTAGTATCTGAGGGATGCTCCAGCCCTCAGCAAGACTATTTCAATATTATGTTTTTGTTGAAGTGTTAATGTATATAACAAATTTAACACAGTCATATCCTATGCCACCTGAATGCATAGAAAATACTGCCTCTTAATTCTTTTCCCCTTCTCATTGGTAACAGGTGTTTTATTTGTTGTAAGCTACTACAGCAAAGTGTTTTTGTTTTCCCTATTATGAGGAAACAAAGAAAGCTAAATAATTGGATCAAGATCAAGTAATTTATATATGACAAAGTTGAGATTTAAAGTGTAGATGGTGGATGTTAAAGCCAGTAATACTCTTTAATTATCAGGCTATACTTCCTAGTTAGGACAGGCTTTCTTTTAATCTTTCTGGCCTCAATTTTACCATCTGTGAAATGGGTATAGTATATACAGTGGTACCTCAGTTTATGAACTTAATTCGTTCCACAATTCTAGGGAAAGTGGAACATCTGTGTTTGTGCAAAAAGATAGCCATGATCTGGTGATGTGCACCCCATTCCAAAACAAATTTTGCCGAATACTTCTGTTTGCGAACCAAATTATTTGCCAACAAAAGGATTGTTGAACCAAGGTGCCACTATATTATTGAGTATTAATTGAAGAGACAAAGGTAAAGTGCTTAGCACAGCAATATACACTCAGTGCCTAATACATGTTAGTTCATGTGGTTATGATTGTTATCACTGTCGTTACCACTGTTAAAAAGATCATTTGGAAGGTATATTTTCCTTCATTTTTACTGTTAATTACTTAGTTCTAGCCTACTACAAGATCCAGTGTGATGTTTTTAGGCCCAGGCTCTGTTTTCATGCTTAAGCAGACAGTCCAATAGAAAAGAGCTCTAATATGTCTGTTTTACTGTATAAATGGTAATTATTTTTTTTAAAAAGATACCTGATGATAATCATGTCCTAATTAATAAAAAGGTAGGTAATATTGGAGTGGCTATTAATATTTAATTTGTGCAGCTGTATGGAAATCTTCAATAGGAAGAAGAAGGTTGGGCATAGTGCTGTGTGGTACATAGGCTCTAGAGCTGGGTTATCCAGGTTCAGATCCATTTGCTGCCGCTTACTGGCTTTGTCACAAGCTTTATAAGAGACTGACTACCTGGCACATGGGAGTTCCATAGGTTTTACTAGCATTTACTAATGTTATTTTTATTTGAGGGAGGGAATAACGGAGAGACCTAGATCTGAGAATGACACCTTTAGAAACTAATGGGAATGGACATTCAAATAATCGTTGAAAAAAATCTTGATTGGAGAAGTAACGGTGATTTTTGCCAAATTTTTGTTGGCCTGGGAATGTTGCTACACCATTTACCTTTTCTTTTTTGTCTTAGGTTGGGTTTTTTGTGAAGAGAGGATGTTCGAAAGGCATGGTTGAAATTGAATTGTAAGTGTTGAAAAGTGCTAAGTGCCATTTTCGTATAGTTTTTGAGTTTATTTTATCCTTTCCTAATAATCTTAGGAAAGAGTTTAATATAATAGTGCTAGAAATAATATTTAAAGATTATCCAAATAACTATTTTTTTAAATTCATCTCATAAATTGTAAGAATTTTATTTTGGAAAAATTTTTAAACAGATTCTAAGTTTATAGGAGGTAATGGAAGTGTACCACTGCTAAATATTCATTAAGAAATTGCAATATCTTTTATACCTTAAAATGTCAGTTGCTTTTTGCTGATTTTGAAAGTTTAAAAAATGCAAAGTAGAAGTGTGTATGTTGAAAATGAAAAGCCTTCTTACTCAAATTCTACTTCTAGAGGTAACCACTGTTACTAATTTGATGAATTTCACGTATGACAAATTCTTGGCACTTTTGGCACCATTCTTTTTATTCCTTTCCTTATGAGTTCCTTTTCCTTTGAGCCTGAGTTTTGGCACCTGTTTCTCATGGGTCAGAATTGATACCAGCTTTGGTGTATCTACGGTTAGTCTTCATGCACTTAAAAAAAATACATGAAAAAGCTTTAATTGGAATGTAAGAGAAACCAGTAAAGGACTTTTGCTTGAAGAACTAATAATGATCAGGCCAGTCCTTAACGAAGAATAAGGAGAAACAGGGAAAGGACTCTAGTTTGAGCAGCAAGAGGCCAGCTATTTTTTTTTTTGGTACCGGGAATCAAACTCACGACCTTGTGCTTGCCAGGCAGGCGCTGTGCTGCTGAGCTAAATCCCCGGCAGGCCAGCTTTTGAAGATTAGCTTAGGTGATCATTATTTTCATTCTTGGTCCTCAGCTCTGAAAGAATCCTCAAAGCTATGAAATGATTGTCTCTGTTTGTGGTGGTTTCAGCCAGTTGAGGCTGTTTTTGCCAGAATCCAGGTGACTTTCAGAGTAGGGAGATGAATTGGAGACTTCTAGATATAGTATAGTTTTAGTGTAGGGTAGTATAGTGTAGTGGAATGTCCCTTTAAATCCCTTACCTTGGATTTCTCAGTCTTATAAAACATCTTCATTCTTAGCTGAGCTTTGTGGCACTCTGTAATCATGGTGATCTGGGAGGCAGAGGCAGGAGAACTGCAAGTTCAGTCCCAGCCTGGGCAACTTTGCGAGACCCAGGGGTCTGAATCCCAAGATCTGTCAAATTCTAGGCCTTGTTGCTTCACCAGATAGTGCTAGAAAGTAGTCACTGCTGGCTGTCCACAGTGTACAGTATTGTGAGTGCTTGGGCAGTTTTGGAGTTTGGGCAAATCCTAAAGCAGGGCTTGTGTGGTCCCACATTGGGTGTCAAAAAGCTGTCTCTGGCTATTGTGGGTCCTTTTTTGCTTTTAGTAGTAATGGAAATTAACACATTCACAGTGGGATTGTAAACTGTATGTATGTCTCATGTCCAGATGGCCCTGAACCAACCCCATGGGAAAGTCATGCATATTCCACCTGTGGTTCAAGCTGGGAGGAGCGTGTTAAAATTAAAGCACAAATTTATAGGAACAAGTTTTAATTGGAGTTAATAGAAAATGGTGAGGAACTTTAGCTTGAAGAGCTGACAAAGATTAGGCCGGCCCTTACCGGGAGAGTAAGAAAAACAGGGAAAGGCTCCAACTTGAAATGGAGGGGCACAGTATAATGAAGAGTCAGGCTGGCCTCCTTTTGCACATTGTTTAGATGGTTTTTAGAGTATTGTTTTTGGAGTTGAATTTTGGAATTTTTGAGCTGAAAAAGCTCTTCAATTATCAGATAATCCTGTCATTTTATGGGATATGAGGAAATGATAATTTGCTTACAAATTATTAGAAAATTTATTTTGTAGAGATGAGAAATAGATGAATGAGCAAAAAAATTATTTACAGTTTATTAAAATATTGACAGAATTTACTGAAGGATATAAAACCAAGATTAAGCCAACAGAGAAGCATATGGTTTCCCTAGAAACTTAAAATTAATATCATTATTAATATGTTATTCCTTGCCAAATTATGGAGTACGTTTGATACAGCTGCAGAGAGAGTCTCATGGGTATGTTTATAAGTTGAATCTAAAATTCATCCCAGCCGGGTGTGGTGGTGCACGCCTGAAATCCCAGCACTCAGGAGGCTGAGACAGCAGGATAGTTGAGAGTTCGAGGCCAGCCTGGGCTACAAAGTGAGCTCAAAGCCAGCCTGAACTGCATAGTGAGACCCTGTTTCAAAAAGACAAAAAAATAAAATAAATAAATAAAGTTTGTCCTGGCCAGGCATGGTAGCACACACCTGTAATCCCAGCACTTGGGAGGCTGAGGCAGGATTGCTTTGAGTTCAAGGCCAGCCTGGGGTACAAAGTGAGTTCAAGGCCAACCTGAATTGCAATAGTGAAACTCTGTCTCAAAAGATAAAAAAAGACCCCAAAAACGTTCATTCTGAGGAGTAAATATGCCAGAAGACCTAAGAAGATTTTGAGAAAAACAGAATCATGAATAACACTTCTGTTGTGTGTGAGAATTTTATTGTAAAGCTGAATGTTTTTCTGTTCTCACATTGAACACCACACAGTGCACCTCTGATACCGCTTTCTCCACGCTGCAATTCAGTTTTGACACTAAATAGAGTTAATGTAGAGCCCAAAGTGGGTTAGGAACTCAATTCCAAGACTCCCAGCACATTAGAGACCATCTGTAAATTTCAGGTTGTGATCTATACTTCTGACAACTAGCTATAAAGTGGGATTTTTGGATCCCCTTTTTTGGGTTTGATTATTTGCTAAGACAATCCAAAATTCGTAGAACTTTCCTTGGGTTTACCAGTTTATTTTAAGGCTATCACAGAGGATACAGGTGAACAGGCAGATGAGCAGATCCAGAGGGAAAGGTCTGGAAGGGTCTCAGAGGGCAGGAACTGCAGACTTGGTGGAGGCAGGGTGCTCTCCCCTTCCAACACATAAGTGGTGAGAAGGCCTCTGAACCCTGTACTTAGGGGTTTTTATGGAACTTCATCACTCAGGCGTGATTGTTAACTCTGTCTTCTCTCCTCTTCCTAGAATGTGGTGGTGGGGTTTTCCAAACTTTTAATCACAGTTTGATCTTTTTGGTGACCAGCACTGTCTAGGAGCCCAGCAAGAGTTGAAAAGACACTCTTGTCACCCAGGACATTCCAAGGTATTAGGAGTTCTATTCTAGAAATCGGGGCAGAGGCTGAAGTATATTTTTTAATACATCACAATATCAGAGGTATGAATTACTCAAGTTGAACTGGCTATTTTTTTTAATGAATTTAGAATTTTATCTGATATCCTACAGGTCAGTAGACTATAGGTGTATTAAGTGCTAAAGAAAAATTATATAATTTAGGAAATAATGGAAAAAAGTGGAATATTTTAAAGTCTTAGGAAAGGAGCAGGCCTTTCTAAGCCCAACAAGAGTGCCAATAGCCATAAAAATAACAAACTTAGATTTTATAAAAAACCCAGATAAAAATAATGATATTTAATAATAAAGATGAGTTATAAGTAGGAGCTGGACATGGTGGCGTAGGCCTGTAATCTCAGCACTGGGAAGGCTGAAACAGGAGGATCACTGAGTTCAAGGCCAGACTGAACTGCAGAATGAGACCCTGTCTCGACAACAACAAACAAAATAAAAAATGAACGATACGTAGAAGAAAACATTTTTAGCTTTGAAAAACATGGACAGGTCTTAAAATTACTAATATCAGTGTTTCATGTAAATCGGTAAAGATTAGAAGCACCCTAGTGTAAAAATGAGCAAAGAAATTTAAAATAAATGGCCCATAAGTATAAAACAGGCTGTTACAAGAAAATTAAGAAGAGAGTTTTTTTCTCAGCCTAGAAAAATTTTAAAATTTAAAATACTTGAGGATATAAGAAGCAGATATTATTATTCGTTGTTTCTGGGAGTGTAATCAGTATATATTTTGAGCTGTATCTACCAGCATTTAACTTTTTCCATTTTTGTTTTTTATACAGGGTTTCACTAAGTAGTTCAAGCTAGTTCTCACTAGGTAGCCCAGGCTGGCCTCGAACTCATGGCAATCCTCCTGCCTCAGCTTCCTGAGTGCTGGAATTATAGGCGTGTACCACCAAGCCTGGCTCTCAGCATTTTTTTTTAACTGTGTCTCTCTGTCCCTCTCCCTTCCCCTCCCTCTCTCTCTCTCTGTCTCTCCCTATGTATTTTTAACCAATTATTCTATTTCACAAGTGTCTTTTATAGAGAATGTTTTTCTTATTTACACAAAAATAATTTTTTCTTTTGAGAAAGAGTCACTGTGTAGTCCAGGCTGGCCCTGAATAGACAAATGATAGAGAATAGACTGGTAGGTTCCTGGGGTATGAGTAGAAGAGAGAACATGGGATGGCACTTTAATGGGCATAGAAATCTTCTTGGAAAGTAATGAAAATACTCTAGAACTAGATAATGGTCATGATTGCACAAGCTGTACCAGAGTGTAGGAGGCTTCCTCGGTAGAGGAGCTCCTCCCTCTGGTGGTGCTTCCTCAGAGCCCACCATTGAAGAGGTTGATTAAGCCAACTCCAACAGATTTACCATTCTTCCACAACAATAAAATTGAAGGACCTAAATTTGTAGCAAATTCTGTGGCAGTTATTAAAAATTAACTGCCATAGTAAAGTACCGGGCATTCTCAATACTTGAATAATGGAACACGTACACAGGGGAAGGATAACTTTGCACTTTATAAGCACTGTGCTATAAGTGGAAATACAGTGTCTTCAATGAAACTATTTAAAATTGGCACCCCCCCAAAAAATGATTGCACAACCTTCTGAATATACCAAAAGGCGTTGCTGAACTGAATACCTGAAGATGGTTAAAATGATAAATTTTGTTACGTAATTTTACTATAAAATAGTGAATTGTATACTTTAAAATAGTGATTATATAATAATGTGAATGCTCTCTTTATTTATTGTCTTTTTTGAGACAGGGTCTTGCTATGCAG